TTTCTTCCCAGTAGTTAAGACATGTGTCTTACCAGGAATAACAATGCATCAGTTCGTTTTTACATTTTATATCAAGCACTGATTACATAGATACAAGCATAGATTACAATAAATTTATTCTTTCAATCCCATTCCAGCGAGACTCGCTGTCTCCTGATAGAAATTGCTACATCTTCTCCCTCTGGAATTTAGCGGCTGTCTGACCAATGCCTAGAGATAGTTTTGTAGCTTTGGGTTTGGACTTTCAGTTATCTAATTGGTCAAATATTACGTAATTAATTATAATGATTGGTTAATTAGCCTAATGACGTCGAAAACCACCTTATATGGACAGTGGAAATCTACCACCAGAAGTGTCACACGTGTTATTTTGTTATTAACCCAAAATAAAATGTTTACCAAATTATAACTCTTTATGTGTCCACCCGTCACTCATTATTTTAGTGCGTGAGATCACTTCTTTACCAAAATAAAACCCAATAATTTGTTAAAGATATAATATAATGCTATCACTAATTTAAAGAGCAAAAATTCTACTAATAATCTTATAGTTGACTTGATAATGGCAAAATGAAGATATACTTGTATCGGAGTTGTGCATCAGCTATGTCCAACTGTCCTCCTAGTCTCTGAAGTTCCTGTAAATTTTCAGAGGGCGGTTTAGTTCCATCATAAGAAAATGAAACATAATCCTTATGCAAACCAAAGGGCGTCCGATTATCAGAAATTCTCACAATAAAATAAGTGCGGAGATCTGCCAAGTTTCGGAACACTTTACCTTGCTTTTTAATCTTTGCCTGAACAGACCAACAATCAATTCCTGCAACATTGACGGGTTTCTGATCATGATTATGATGCTCTAAATAATCCACGAAAGTCAAATAATGTGCCGTAGCAAGATCCCTACTAAGGATAGACCAATCAAATTTATCAGCATTAAAGGGCTTACCCTGAGCCATCTCAAACATGCACAATATGAACTTATAAAATGTTAAAAAAAATAATTATTAAACAATATGAATACATTATCAATCTTACAAAATATTAGAAAAATAATTATTAAACAATGGTTCAAAGTTACAAAATGGAAATTCAAGTACCGTACACAAAATCACATTCACAATATCTTAACATCTATGATAAGTTTAAATGAATTTCAATAAATAAACAAATCACTATATGAAAACATCACACAAATGTCACTGCGACTGCATACTTATCAATATTATTATAGCTGGGTTTCAAAATGTTATTATTACTATTCAGAATGTAACAAAAAACTGGCATGTTATAATTGTCACTGGACTGTACTGTGGGCTAGAATTTAGTCTTAGGGCCTAAATTTCAAGTCGGTAGGCCTATACTATGTGTATAGGTAATTAGTCCCCCTGGTTAATCTTAATCTACACCACACTGCATGTTCAGGAACATTTGAATTGATACATTCATAATCATATAAAACTTGATCAAAATTATAGTAGGAATTAGGTAGGCTTAATAATGACATAGACTTTGTTAAAAGTACTGTCTTCTAGACTAGGTTCTCCAAAGTAATTTCAGAATTCAGATTTTAATCTATCTCATCTGTGATTCTGTTTGTAAATGTAATTCACCACACAATGAAATTTCTCAACTATGTATTGATTAAAGTTCCATCAGTCCGCTAACAAATCTGATCACATTTGTCATCAAAAGAAATATAGCAAAGTCAAGCAGTATTGGCTTAGCCTATTCCGAGAAAGCACACGGTACACCTATGGAACACTTAAAACTGTCACAAAAATCTGATTAAATCCATAGTTTTGTTAAAAACATACGAAATATGATGCACAATAGGTTTAGGATGTTTTGCTTCTCCACCATGTTATATTCGGATCCTTGGATCCTGGGGGGTTACACAGTTACATGTGGATTTCAGACCACAATGATATAAAACATACCACAATATGACAATAAGCATATATTTTAAAGGAGCTAAATCGCTAATATTTTGGACCTAGAAATTGGCACAAATGAGTCGCAAAACATATAATAATGTAATATGAATTTATATAAACTGTTTTACATTCAATCGTGTCCGTTTTACTGTGAATTGTCATCAGTTATGTTCGGCGAAATACGCCAGAAGTCTCAACCGCAAGTCAGTTTCTAGCGTCTGGTTATTCCAGTCAACACCGATAATATTTATTGCGCATGCTCTCCATATAAGAATATGATATCACCGTTTGACATGACTTGTGGAATATGTCTAGCCTCATTCTTTAAGCACCTTGTTACAAATGGCGCTGAAATGCATTATGGTACACGATTCGTGTACCAATGGTAAAATGTTTATTTTGTCTTAAATATTGGATATCAGAAGCCCATCTTTTCCAGGTAAGATCACAACACCAATGCTGATTTAAATTGCAAAACAATTCGTGTTTTCAATGTCGAAGATTTTGGATGATATTGAGTTACGGACTTAGCTACTTTAAGTTCCATCAAGATCGGATAAAAATTGTGACTTCTAGGGGGTCTACAACCTTGGGATTACACACTTTTACACTATTTGCGTACACATAGCAGCCATGTAACGGTAATATATTTAAACAATTTTTTAAATCGCATAAAATTGTGACCTCTAGAGGTTAAACAATCAGGGGTCATAATCCAGGAAGTTACGGTCCGATATGCACAAATATCGAAAGGGACTGAGAGGGTCCACAAGCTAAAAATGAGATTTTTCGAACAATCAGGGGTCATAATCGAGGAAGTTACATTTCGATATGGAGACATTAGTACAAATTATAATTATAAAATATTGGTCTATATCTATTACCTTGTAGCCCCTGGAGCACTACAAAATCATAAAAAAAAATACAGTTACAACAAATCAGATTGCAGATTCGTAATCTACAAAAGTTCTCTAACCTACAAAATTTGGGCTGCATATCTTTATTAGAAAGGTAAAAACAAGATATCTGAAACTCGAGTAAATTATTGATACATATTTTGTTTTGGAAACTTATTGGTAACTCAAATGCTCGTATTTCAGTCAGTTTTTAAGCTACAGACCAGAAATGTTGCACAGTTTCTAGTTGTTGCATGTACAATAACAATTTTTGAGGGGGTGGGGTCGATTTCTCAAATTTCTGAAAATTGACCAACTTGTTGTTCCTTAGTAATTTATTAGGTGAAGATACTGATGAATTAGCGCTTAATTGTTTATATCCTCCAAAAGTCTCGGCAATTATGAAATGAAATGTGGTTTAACGTCCTACTGTTCTGCTCCTATTGATTTAATGAAAACAGGCATACGCCATACAGTGGGCAGGGGCACTATGGCCTACTTTTATATCAAATTCCAAAAGCCAAAGGGATCTTTTACGTGCACGCAAATGTATACACAGGTCATCGGTTTTATTGTCCCATCCGAACGATTAGACAGCTCTCCTTGTAAGGCCCTCGGCCCTGCACCACTGACAAGGAGAAACCACGCCGGAAAATACCGGTGAACTTTCTCGGCCAATGCTTGGACTGAACAGGCGACCTCCAGACTAGCGAGCCGGGGAAGGGGGGGGGGGAGTTTAACACGCGCGTGTCAAATGGCGTGTCGAGTGGACGTTAAACCCCCTTTTTTTCTCTCTCTAGCGAGCCAGCGTCTAACCCACTTAGCCATCTCCCCCCCCCCTTCAATTATGAACATGCCACGTGTAAGAATAGACTCATTTTTGATTGGTGGAAGACCATTTACGAATGACGCCCATTCGTTGATACGAATTGGTGGAGATGCCGGGTAACGACAACCTGAGTAATGGCGTCCGTTTAATCCTGTCACCATTAATCTTACTTAATTACTTTTAGATAAACAATAAATAAAGCTCTTTGATATAAATATACAATTATATAACATGGATTGTAATCTGTTGACACCCATCAGCGTCAAGGTTGATTTATGCTTATTAGGGGATTATTCATTCGCCGTCTTTAATAAACATATATACATTTAAAATAAACTATATAATCCATAAAATATACATTTTTTAAAATACATAAAAATCAAATATCACAAAATACATAAAAATCAAAGTCACTGATTCGAGGAATTAACCTAGCTAACTAGCCTTAATTTTGCTGTTGTATTTCAAGGTAACTTGAATGATATCGAGAATTATTTACTTTTGTTAGTACAATGTTTCATTATTTTGAGAAAGGAGATATTCTAAATTAATAAACATTGTTCCTAAATCTCTTTTGTTCCAGCATTGCTTATACTCATCTTCTATCCAGCTTCTTGTATGGTGTACAGTATTTCAAATAGAGTACTGACAAAATTATGTAGAAAGACACTACGGTCATAAGTCGATAACACGACGTTACCATTCACAATCAAGCGATAATAAGGTAAGTTTATTTTGTAGTATCGTCGACTCAATGCTGTTGTAATTTCGGGTTATGAAAGCAGCGTGAGTTTACATCAGGTACATCAGCCACAATCAGCTACAATACTAATACTATTGATATATGTCTACGTTTGCATACAAGGACCCAGTTCACCAATTATTCCTACGCCGTCACGAAACAAGGGCGAAAGTTATTTTAAGTCTTTCTCTCTCTTTCCCCCCTTTTGCATAGCGATCTTTTTTGACTTTTTGGTGTAGAATTAAAGAAAAGGGTTTGAATATACATTTTCCGCCAGGTTTTAGTGAACATTCGTGATTTTGAGGCGGAAGGATACAAGGGTTAAGAGGTTGGTTAGGTTGAAATGTAGGGCGGAAAATTGCCTGTTTTTTGTCTCTATTTCCAGTTTGTGTATCTCAAGTTTTTCCTGATGAATCTCATACGTGCTTCTGGGCAAGAGGTTGCCACATGTTGCTCCGTCTGTGGTAGAAATCGTTCTACCGAACAAAATTCTGGAGAAGAGTTAGAGCCGGTCTAATAAACGAGAATTAACATGAAAGTCAATGGGGATAACATTGGTGGTCTTTGGCCATAAAAGTCTAGTTGTTCGAGACAAGCTCTGATTTCCTAGAATTTGTTTGAACTGAAAATAATTCTATCAAGCGTTAGAAATGGGGAAAGGGAGGGCTGTAAATTCTTCAGCGCATGCTATCATTAGATGTTTTCTTGTATTAGTTAACATATTATCAATGGTAAGTTGTTTTTTTCAGATTTTAAGTTCCTTGTATAAATGATTGAGACATTATCATCGAGTATTTCATGAAATTCGAATTCACCCGAATTAATTGCTTAAGGGTTATATATTTCAATTCAAGATACGCCCACATTTGCGAAAGATGACCGGCTAAAAACGCTATTTTACATATACACGCCAATATCGACAGGAACCGAGATCTTTGGGATATTAACACAAATTTCAGGTTTCGCCAGAATAAAAACGCGATTTTTTTTATTCAATCAGCGGCCATAATCCAGCGACCATAATCCAGGAAATACTTAATTTTTCTACTTAACCAAGTCTATTAACTTAAATTGGTATTTAAAGGCTGCATTTTACAAACGCCAAAAAGCACAACCTTCTAACTTATGGAATATCCGCCAAGTCTGCCAAAATTCACGAATATCTAACTTTGAAGTCATGTTACGTCCTCTACCACTACTCTATTAAAATCTTAGCTGTTACTGCTAGAAAATGTTTGTCAAAATATGGCTATAAATTGCAGTACATAACTAACAGGAAATTTTGTTTTGATATTTTTTTAAAATTTCAATTTAAAAAGTTTTCAGTTTTAATAGATTTCAATGGCAGTTATCGAAAGGTTCTAGTATAATGTCGGATAAGGTAAAAAATTATTATTTTAAGAATGTGTAAATAATAGATAACAAGATCTTCTTATCAATACGCAAGGCCGTTTGGCTATTAAGTCAAACAGAACAAATCATTCAACGCCGTTTATCAATCTATTATTTGTGAAATTCAGAGAAATTCTATAAGTGTCTTTTCTTTGAATAAATACCTAGTTATCATTCGGTTGACTTTAAGTTTATACACAGCTTAAGGTCTCCGGCTGAACAAGTCTATGTATTTTGTATGATTTTTGATAACTTGAACAGCTAAAAAAAAAAAATTAGATGTTACTCTTAATCAGATTTCGGATAAAAATTGTTACTTTTAGAGTGCCCAAAAGCTTAAAACGTCAGGGTCATAATCCATTAAGTAACAGAGATCGTTCGGATATAAACCTATATTTCAAGTTTCGTCAAAATCTGATTAAAAAAAATGTGACCTTAGGGTGTCCACAAACCAAATGTGTACGGGCGGACACGAAAATATACGTCACCATGGAAAATGTGGGCGTGTAAAAAAAACTTTTAGAATGGACTAAGCAGGCGTAAACGACTTCAGTTCAATTTGGACTTTTCGCGTGTATCACCGAACATAATTGATTCGAAATTACAATATATTTTTAAAAATTGAATATAGATCACTTTATATACACTTTATATGCATTTAGACCCATTTAAGATTTTAAATAGAGTCAAGCGTCCCCTAATTTACCTCTTCTTTATTTTAATTTTTCAGATTGTTGGTTTTACAATGTTTGGATTTGGTCTTTATGTAAGGTTCTTTTTAAAAAAACCTTTCCTGGGCAAATATTTTACAGACACAGTTAAAGATATATATAAAGAGATCAATCAGAATTCCACAGTACCAGACAATCTCGAATTATATGATTTTACATATAATGTTGCAATGTCACTGATCTTCGTGGGACTCGTGTTGGTCATTCTGACTGTAATTGCATGTGCAGGTGCCTGTAAATCATTGCCACTGTTGGTGCTGGTAAGTATACGCCTGCCCAAATGAAATTCATATTGTTATTCACTAATTTATTAGAGTCAACCAACTCCATTTTGTCATATTTAATATCAAAGTTAGTAATAGGCGAACAAGGATTGTTTATTACTGTTATGTCGCTAAAAATATTCTTATATTTTCAGTTTAATGTGTTGATATTGGCTATGATAATAGCAGAAATAACAGTCGCTAGTTTAGTAATACCAGCATCATCACCAGTAAGTTTTAGACTTCATGAATTAATATCACTAATTACTAAGCGTATTTCAAAATATGAAGTCAACGTCTAGGGTAGCATAACAATATTTTCATGTAGAAATTGGGTTTAACGTTCACTCAACACAAGCCACAGGTCATTTCGGGACTAACATCTGGTATAATTTTATTTCAATAATTCGGTTGATGGTAATGGTCCAAAATGGTCAACTATTTTATTATATTTGAGTATATATAAATGAAATGAAATGGGGTTTAACGTCCCACTGTTTTGCTCCGAACTGGGCTAATGAAGACGGGCATACGCCATACAGTGTGCTATGAGGGAAATTTTGCCCGGACAGCGGCACTACGGCCTACTCTTATATCGAATTCTAACTGCCAAGGGATCTTTTACGTGCACGCCAATGTGTACACGGGACCTCGGTTTTTTGTCTCATCCGAATGACTAGACAGCTGTCCTTGTCAGGCCCTCCGTCGTGCATCACTGACAAGGGGGAACCAAACCGGAAAATCTGGGTGAACTTTCTCGGCATATGCAGGGATCGAACACCCGACCTCCAGACTAGCGAGCCAGGGTATATATAACTATTGGGGGTATGCTTATTTATTCCAGTTAATCTGATACCATTATTTACTGGTTTGATGAGTCTGCATAGCTAACTAAATTTTGAACCAAAAGCTAAAACGAACGGTTTCTTTCTACTCCCCGTAGAGGGGATAATGATTCCATACGTTGATAGCAGAAGAAATTGAAATTCACGATTCCGCATGATTTTATGCGTTTCTGATGATTTACATAGTTTACACTTGCATTTATTTGTGAAATTATAGTTCGGCGGTTTCCTTAAAGTTTACCAGGCCATTTTAGCCAAGGATAACCCAATAATAGAGAATTGCATAATGGACGTTCTATTGACAGTAGACTGGGACTAATGGTTTTTATTTTCTTCTAGATCCATGATGCCAGTAGAAATGATTTGTTAAACAACTTAAAACATTATAATGTGAATGGTTCTGATGATTTCTCTGCCACAATGAATATACTGATGCTTGGGGTAAGTAGTATAAAGTCTAATTCGATAGCTTTGTAAATCTAAAAAAGCTTGCATTACGTTTCGTTTTTTGTCTCTGACATGTGTACTGAACTGTAATAATGTATGTTAACAAACTTTCTATTAACGTTGTGATGCGCCAGAATCTGTTCATAGGAATCTGTTGACAGGTGTATTATATTTAATTGTGGTGGATGCAGCTAATTTGTGTTTTAGTTCCCGCGACCGCTCACGAAAACAAGGTCTTGTTAATCTCTAGTGATAATTTGATTGGTCAAGTTGTTCATTCCGCTATAAACGAAAATATTTCAGATATTATTGAACTTTAACATCAGAAATAAAATGCATCAAAATTGTTTAAATTATATTTAGTTTTGATGTTCAATCAAATTGTAAAATAAGGCACAGTCTTTTCCAACTTTTTTCAAATAATGATATTTTGTCTGTCCACGACAAAGAATAAGTGCATTTCAACTATAGGGTGAAGAACAAATGTTAATGATCCTTTAAAAAACAAAATTTATATTATTTAATTCGCCGCTACTTCCTGTCCGAAGGTTGAGCACTAGCCTATTTATATGAAATTCTAGTGTAGGAGATTTGCATTTACCTGAAAATTTGTGAAATTGAGAGAACCTTTGCAATTCCAGGAGTTTAGGAATTAGGTAATAGTAATAGAAAAGTGAAGCCTGTATAAACAGGGATAGGCTAAACAAATTTTAATACAATCAGTTTTATTGCATGACAGCACATAATTATCAACTACCTTTCTAAAGAATATAAAAATTACAACAGGGTTCCATTAGACAACTTTTTCATATATCAAAGTCAAAAATTTGAAATTATATGTACTCGTGCAATAGAAATAAGAATTAACACATCACTAGCATATTCGTGAAATAATGAGAGGGGTCGTTATGATGGTTCTATTTAAGCCAAATAGCAGCAACGAATAAACATAGGTGATGTTACCATTAAGTCTGGGCTAAAGGTGTCGCTAACAATTTAATTAGTCTAATTACAACAACATTTCGTTCCATTTCATTTTCCGTCTACCCCACCTGATCTTGATATCAAGAAATTTCTTTATAATTTCAACCAATTAAACCTCATGATACAGAAACGTATTTTAAAATGCTTTGACTATCCTGACACGTTCTGTCACCACAAACGCAGCATGCACGCACTTTTATTATGCTATTGTCATAATATACTATTAAAAAAAAGTAGGGGATATTTGATTTTTAAGTGTTATTAAAGTCACCTAATGAAACTGACGAAGAAACAAATGACAAAATGAAATGAAGTTCACATTCATCGATTTATTCCAAATGATCGTTAGACTAAGTAAGGCACAGACTGACCATTATAAGGGTAAAATGATACCCGGGGTCAAACAGCAAAGTAACCACAGCATCACAACCAAGTCAGTAACGGGTAAATCCTCCTCTGTTTGCCAAACAAGCATTGATCCGACGTGGCATACTCCTAATGAGACGTCTAAGGTCATTTTGGTCCAGATTGTCCCATTCCTGTTGCAACGCAGCAGCAAGTTCTTGGACATTGGCAGGACGTTGTTGACGTTGACGTAACCTCTGTCCAAGCATGTCCCAGACATGCTCGATGGGGGAGACGTCGGGACTCAGTGCTGGCCAAGGTAATGTGGTGATGTTCTGTTGTTGGAGGTAACCTGTAACAATCCTGGCCCTGTGACATCTTGCGTTGTCATTCTGGAAGATGAAACGGCGGCCATGACGTCGTGCGAACGGCACAACATGGACTGCCAAGATGTTGTCCCGGTAGTACTGGCCTGTAACACGCCCTGCAACAACATGTAAAGCCGTTCTTCCAGCAACAGTGATGCCTCCCCACACCATAACAGAACCACCCCAAATCGATCATGTCTGATGACGTTAACGTCTTGGAAGCGCTCGTTTCGACGACGCCACACCCTCTTACGTCTGTCCAAAAAATCAACAGTGAACCTTGACTCATCTGAAAACATCACATTGCTCCAGCGTCGATTATCCCAGTGTTGACGATCCCTACACCAACGACGTCTTGCCTGAATGTGATGATCTCTCAAACAAGGGATCACGCGAGGACGTCGGGCGCGAAGGTGACCCCTATGCAGTCGATTCCGAATCGTCTGGGCCACTCACTCTCACACCAGTGTCTGTTTGAAGACGAGCGCTGATCTGATTTGCTGTGATGACACGATTTCTCAAAGCCAAGGTACGGAAAAATCGATCCTGGGCTTGAGTTGTCGCCCTTGGTCGACCTGAGCGTGGTCTGTCCTGTACAGATTGTGTATCACGGTATCTGGACCATAGCCTGCTTATGACAGACTGAGAAACATTCATCGTCCGCGCCACAACCGCCTGTGTTGTGCCGATCTGTAGCATGCCAAGGGCACGTAACCTTTCATTTTGGGTAAGCCGACGCATATCGAAATTTGTTTTCTGGTCACTAAAACAATTAAACTGATGTTTCCACCCTGGAATTCAATGCCACAATGACTGTAACATTCAAAGTCAGAGTCGTGCAAATCTTGGGTTGGACCCCCATGATGATCCCAAGCATCACCTGCATTCCATGCGGTAGCTATTGGTGCGTTTGGGCGTCACATGTAACTGGAAATGTTTCTTCTGTTAGGTTCTATAGTGACTTTTGAATAGTATAATATGCACAGAAAGCATTTTCCTTAAACATATCTACCGATGTTAATAGAATGATCAACCGGATAAACGGAACAAAAATAACACCTAGTTTAATTGCATTGGCAACAGTTTGGTTGAAATTAGACGTTTTTCCAATTCGCTTTCTCCTTTCGTCATACATATTTGACCTCCTCAAGATTTATGTAGCATATGACTTAGCTGTCAGTTTCATGCACACATCTGGTTCACGAAACTGAAGAATATTGACTTATAAGTCCAAATATTTGATCAGTATCTTGTTTAACAACTGCTACAAGACGCCTCGTCATTACTTGGATCGATCTCTGAAATTTGAATCTGAGGAATTCTGATTCATCCCTCAAGCTAAGTTCAACGAATGGTGATGGGCCGATATTGCATGATTGACCCTTTCCCAAAGAGAACCATGGCTGTGTCCCATAACATCGTTGCTAACCCTGTGATTGTTTAAGAATCTGTAAAGAATGTAATGATTGTGCCAAAACAACCTAGCTACTGCCAAAGGGTTTTCAGCTATATCATTAATATATATCAAGAACAATGGACGTTCTAAAACAGACCCTTGAGGAACACCATCAAAAACGTCACACAGTGAGGAAGAAGGCTTTTTAAACACTACGCGTCGCTTCCTTCATTTAACGTAACTGTCGAATCAGTTTAGAATATTTCCCTTAATTCCATAATTACAAGAAGTCACTGAAAACAAAACAACTAACTTCGTTGTTCTACAGCGCATTCATTATTGAGATCTAAATTTCAAGTAACTGATGAATTGTTGAATGTTTGCGCAGAAATCCTGATTGATACTCCTGTAAATGTTGAGGATATGATATTTCATATGCAAAATATCAATAAATCATTCATGAAAATACTCTGTTTTCTTCAATCACAAAAATAAGGATCTATGAAACTGCTATGGTTTCTTAATAGACAGAAATATAGGTGTATGAAACAGCTATGTTTTCCTAATCACAAAAATTAAGGTCTATGAATTCGGTGTTGCTTGATTAATTTCCATGAAATTTCCGATCTGCTCGACTAGGCTAATGAAGATGGGCATACTCCATAGTGTGCTATGAGGGAAATTGTGTCCGGGACCTTTTACGTGCACGTCAATGTGTACGCGGGTCTTCTGTTTTTCTCCCCATCCGAACGACTATACGTTGTCCCTTGTCAGGCCCACTGTCCTGTTGTACCACTGATCAGGGGAAACCACGCCGGAAAACCCCGATGAATTTTCTCGAGATATTAGAGATTGATTTTTTCGGCCAAGCCTCGGTCATCATTACTAAATTCTGTACGATAAAAAACATAGTCTCGATTATCCACTTTTTGATTTAATCATCAGTGAGCGTTGAACAGCAGATATAATTCAAATCCAGTGACAATCCGCCACATAAGATGACATCGAGAGTTGATTAAGGTCTTTTCATGTTAATAAATGTCTAATTAATAGTCTATATAACATTTCAGGCTTAAAGAAAGACCTACAATAGGCAGATTAAGCTCTTGCATAATGCATGTTTAACTTTATATAAAATGTACCATGATGCTGTATTTATCTGTTTTGTATTTGATCATTTTTTTATATAATTAATTTCAGTTGGACTGTTGTGGAATAAATGAACAAGACGATTTTGATGATGTAACTATGATTTATAAAGGGGTTAACGTGAAGATACCACCAGCATGTTGTAAGATCGAACCTGGGGGAAAAACCTTACTAAACTGTGAAAACAATGCAACTAATTCTAATTCTCAGACTGAGGTTAGTACAGCTATTAAATAATAAACTATAAATATTAAATAAAAACTATTAAATCTGACTAATTTGTATGGGACATTACTTTAATATGGGTATATCATTCTGGAGAGAGAAGACATAACCATTGATACGTTATTATTCTGCCCGGCTAGGTGCACCTCCCTTGCAGCCTTTGTTTAGAAAAAGGTAAACTCCTAAATAAGGTATTCAGATGGTGTGAATATAATACTCTGTGGTATCCGAAAATCGTCGATTTAGAAATTAAAATGTCGGTCAACTACTAGCTTAGTGTCTGTTCTCAAGCGGAGCTAAATGTAAGCTAAATATGCCAGGATGCCTTCATATAGAATATGACTGCAATTTGTCTAGTTTCTTTCTTATTATTCATACACCTACTATTTTATTTTAAATACGTTGATTTGATTATTCATGTCAAAATCAAAAGACAAACATTCTCTAAATGATAAGTTTTATATGGCTATTGAAACTATTATTTAGTAGTTGATTTTCATAGATTATTGGCAGTTGGAATTCGATATAAGAGTAGGCGATAGTGCCGCTGCCCGGGCAAAATTTCCCTCATAGCACACTGTATGGCGTTTGCCCGTCTCCATTAGCCCAGTATAGGAGAAGAACAGTAGGACGTTAAACCCCATTTCATTTCATTTCATTTCATTTCATTTCATAGATTATAAAATATTGCACGTTTTCTTAATTTTGTATTTACAGGGATGTTACAATGCCTTTCACGGAGTCTTAATGTCATCAGTTAATTGGCTTATTGGATATACAGTTCTATTTATATTGATACAGGTAGGTAATTTGATATTGTTGAGGAAACTTCTCTTTGAAAGAAAAACAAATCATCTACAAGGCAAAAGTTATATTGTTTGAATGTCTGTAATATATTGATTGGTCTAAAACCTGACCGGGTCATGGTTGCTTGACTACAACTTGAACAATTTTTATACTAAACCAGAGGTGGCCAACCTTTAATACACCATGCGACAATTTGTCCATACAAGAATTCAGATGTTCGAACTATACAGCTCTTTTATGCCAGTTTATAACATTGCAAATGTTCTCAAAAACTGGCGGCGTATTTAACAGTTACGGAACAACTGCAGAACAAAAGCCAATCTTTCCTAGTTTTATTCATTAAACATATTTCTTTTATCTTAAACAGATTGAAAGAAAATATCATTGCTATAACAAAAATAGCTAAAAAAATGAAGAGGCTTACTTCCTAACTTTATTATTATCACAAGTGTGCAAACTACTATATTGTGCAAGTTGAATATCTAATAGGAAATGAATGAATTGAAATTTGAGGTAAATTTTGCTCGGACAGCGGCGCTACGTCCTATTCTTCAATCGAATTCCAACTGCCCAATGTTTCTTTTACGTGCACGCTAATGTGTACGCGGGACCTCGGTTTTGTCGTCCCATCAGAATGACTATACGTTGCCCCTTGTCAGGACTTCTGTCCTGCACCACTGACAAGGCCAACATACGGGACCTCCGGCTTAGCGAGCCAATGTCTTACTCACTGAGCCACCTAGGCCCTATAATAATGGTTTAATTCCGTTTAGTATTTACAAAGATATGTAGAATTGAAATTTCATAGATTTATGTTACTCACTGTGCAATAATCCCGCCATTTGTCGCTTTCGAAAGTTTAATGACAGGCTGGTTTAAATCCGCTTGAATCCAGGCTGGGATATTATCTGGCGTTGGTATTTGGATTTCTTAATCAAGCTTTAGTACGTTTTAAACCATGAAGTCGGTCACTGACAGTTACGTGGTTTAATCGATCCTCAGTTTGTCCCCTCTTAAACCTTATGGATTTTCTCCGGTTTCCTCCCACAGCTAAATAATAAAGAAATTAATCAACAACTTTCGTGATCTCATCGGACGACTTAGCTACATTCGGCTTATGTTTCGTTTTTACCAGCAATCTTTTCAAGATTTCATAAATTATGGCCGTAAATGAGTAGCTAACTCGGCATTTTGCAATTGAATGATTCCGAATGTCAATAGCGGCCTTCCTAATCCCCATTTCTTATTTCCTTCAACCCACATTCCGTGTGAATTAGAAACTATATAGTGACATTGGGGGCTGTGAAACATAACAGGGATGTGGTCATAACGGCCCTATGCCATAACAGTCAAAACCAGGTGTGGTCAAAACGGCACTACTTTAGTCATAACGGCCAAACAGTTGGTTATAGCGGCCATAACACACAATATTACCTTTTTATGATGATTAATTATACAGAAACAATGTATAAAAGCCAGACCCCTTATCAACAGTTCCGCTTAGCGATTTAAGAACTCTTGAAGAATTTTTCAAATGGCGTAAAGAATTATATTTAAGTCAGGATGTTGTGGGGGTCTCTAGCCTTTCTTGATATGGTAGGTACAACTAGATCAAGGCGCGCCTGAGTAAATGGCTCAAGCCATATACCTTTTTGAAAGTAATATTGTGTGACACTATACCCCGTGTCACAAAAGTTTATCCTTCGTCATGACACTAAAAGTTTTAATAAGAAAATGTGACAGTGTCTTGTGTCACTCAAGTCTGGATAATCTCGACTTCACTCACGTGTACGTTTTTACTTAATAGAGACTTTTGGCAAGCGTAAAAGGTCCGGATAACATTGTCGTGTCCTTTTACCGTCTTTTTGGCTACTTTTAGACGCCGAAATGTTGTATCGTAGCTTTTTAATGAATCTTTGTGTATTCTAGAACACGAAGTTGTATATTTGATGTGATTTAGGGAGGCGGAACCTTGCAAATCTGGTAAAGAGGTATAAACTTTCTGGAATGATACATTAGTGAAATCAACAATTGCAGTCGAGTCGAAATCGAAGATTTTAAATAAGATTCGACATTAATTTTTTTTTAATAGCCCAGCTCTAATAGGCACTTGACTAGTACTGATGGTGATCTTGGTAGATATCTGCCATCATCCTGTAATAGAACTAAGCTCAGCTGATCGACGCACACGTACGCTACGCAAAAATCTGCCAAAACTCTAAAACTACATTGACGCAACGTATCACGTATACGATACGGATACGTGATACGGATGGGAAAATTCCGCTTGTCAAAAGTCTCTAATGTGTGTATATTTCTCATACGTGTCACGGCACAAGGATACGACAGCACGTATCGAACAGCTTTCATACGGAAAAGGTCCATACAACATCGTCTTTTTACCGTCTTTTTTGCTATTTTTCGCACTGAAATGTTGTACCATAGCGTTTTTGTGAATCTTTGTGTATCCTAAAACATGAAGGTGTATATTTGATGTTATTTTATCCATGATAAAGAATGGAATTTAATCATTATTTTTGATGAATGTTTCTCGAAATTTTCATATGTTTCCCGTCTGTCTGCATGCTTGTTGATCTACGTATTAAATTTAGGGAGTGCACTTTGCAAATCTGTAAATGGTGAAACTAGTGTTATTTATTTTAGGTTCTGCAATTCTGTGCTTCCTACCACGTGGTTGTAAATTATGAAAGAATTGGATATCTCCGCATTTAATAAAAGGTGGGACTTTCTCTTAACGATAAGTTAAGTTGCAAAAATACTTATTAACTTTATAAGTGATACATTATATTGTATATCTGCTTTTATGATTTATTCAGTTTAACAGTTGATGACACGACAATAACACAGTAAGTCATACACCTATTACAACTAAATACAGAACATAAACAGGAGTGTATATTTCCTCTATTTCAGAGTCTTAGAAAATGAAGAAATAAAAGGAATTGAAGATTTTATCCGAATATATATTTAAATTATTTCAGTCTGATTAAAATGCAGATCTATATTTCGTTTCGTTTCGTTTTTTTTATACTTCCGATGGCCTCTGTAGTGGGAGGTCGCGTCAGAGGTCATACGATCGGTTTTTGACCCTACGACGTCAAACATTTGATTCACCAATCAGCGTTGATGTTTCTAGTGGGCTACCCACAGTTCCGTGCCAAAAACTCGCCGTAACAGACCTTTTCATTGGCTAATTCCCCACATCACTCAGAACGCTTGTTATATAATAACTCCACCAGATCCTAGTGTAGTAATGACAAGCAAACGAAATTTTGAACTACACGAAACGAAACGAAATAGGATCTGCGTTTTAATCAGATTGAAATTATATGGGTGGGGCTATTAAATTAAACCAGTTTACCCGTCTCTTGGAAACACAATAACTGTATACTCAGTTATTTGAAAAGTGTGGCATTCATATACATGTATTACACAAAACAGGGCTTTATAACCAATCAATCCATTTTAGAGGTGTGTCAGAAATATAATCTAGAAATAAACTGTTATATAGTTTGGAAACAGAATAATATAACCCAAGCGGCGATACCACATAGCTGGAAAGACATAATAAATACTCATTCAAATCCTGATGATTGTATTCCAGAATACACCTTTAAAATGGATGACATTCTGCTTTCACTCTTAAACATACATTATGCAAGAGCTAAATCTGCCTACTGCGGGTCTTTTTTTAGGCACGAAATGTTAACTAAATTATTAATTAGACATTAATTAACATATCCAGACCATAATTAACTCTCGATGCCATCGCTAGCCTGCGATATTTAGTGGCTTGGAATATATTTTTGAGAAATAATTAAACGTAAAAATGAATAACGGCTAAAAGCTAATATCTCGGTTTAGAGTGGAGCAATTTGATTGAAGTTCTCAGCATATTCTATTTACGTTATCTATTTCGTAACTACTATAGTGAGAACTGTCAACTCGTTGTCTAATCTCCCATAATGCACCTTTAATGATTTTAAAACCAAAGTATGATACTAACTATTATTAAAAAGTGTATATGTAAAGAAGCCACATATGTAAAATTTTGGAACAATAAATTTGTACAGTTTTTAATACAGACCTTTAGAAGATACATAATTTCACATAATCATAAAACTATAAATAAAAATAGAATCAAACGGAACAGTTACACTTGATTTATGAGCACTTAAGAAATTTTGAAATAATTATGTATTGTATATAAATTGGCAAATATTTTAATATTATGCATATATGATTTTAATGTTTTACCGTAAATATGTGAAATCCAAAATCCATCATAAAAGTACTCGTATTTTTAAAATCATCCATTTTATTATGTCTCTTTATAAAAATAATTTAATTATTTGTCAACGCTGATATTGACTGTACTGTATGTATAACACGTATTATGTGAATAAATACCTTTACAAGAGAGAAAAAAAAAATCAAACTAAAGAGTCACGTTTTGAAAAGACCAAAAAAGGTTTATTATATTTAATAAATATCACTACAATGGACGGCGCCCTATTCCGGGCTATCGATAATAATCAACCAATCAAAACTAAGATTAATAGTTACATCAACAAACTGTTGACGTCAGACGGCACTAGTCTTTCATGCAGATACTCTTTGCGGAACATTGGCCAATCATTGGCACATGTCATAAAACCGACAAAGACAGTGGTTTTTTCCCGACCATTTCGATAACGACAGTTGTATGCGGGACTTGCGTGGTGAATTGTTTGGGCTACACTTAGTTTGGAATAAAACGTTTAGATCAAGATGTCATTCTAACCATGTTCAGCTATGGCCTCAGACAGAATAAAAAGTCGAAATCGTCAAAGATCGGCTTGAGCAGGGCACTATTCTAAATGTAAATTATGTCTCAACTGAACTAGATGATGTATTTATAATACACGGTGCACTATGGCGTCACACATTTGGATACAATGTGGGCCCCTCACTACCAATTTGTATGTTCATATTAAATCATGATTAAATGTATTAATACCGATTTTCAGTGGATACAAAAAAATTAATTATCATAATTATATACATTAATGTAGTTTCTACAGAACGGCTTGTTTACACGGACCTATCCTTTTAGATACAAGAAAACATATACAATGCAATCGTCAAGGTATATAATACACGTTTTCCAGACAGAAATAATTTTTTCCATTAGCATTTCAAAAGGTAACACAGAGAATTGGTAGTCCTTTAAATATAAAAACTAGGGGGTGGGGGGCTAGGAGCTAACAACCTGAGCTAATATCTATCTTGGTTTTAATCGCACACTTGTGCGTGACAAGGCGAAGGGTCATTGGTTTTCTTTGGGTTCGTCAATAATTGACCTTGCTCTCAATTTACATCTAAATATACCCTGATGACAAACCACTTTGGCTCGATGACTTTTGTTGAAGCATCTTGTTAAGTTAAGTGTCTGTTGTATCTCTTTCTTTTGGTGTATCAGCATCTTGAATCTCATTTTAATATTAAAGATATACACACTCCTGTTTAGCATTCAAATTTGCGGATGATTTGTCTTAAAGATCCTTGGTGTGAAACATCATTCCCGGGATATTTACCAAGCGAATAACCCTCCGTGGTTAGGTTAGGATTGATGGCACAATCAGATGGAACCAATTGAGCAAAATCGCGATATCTTTGTAAATGGTTATATGTTTTTATCTGATAAATTCATTACACCATGTCATCTCTTTCACTTGGTAGCTTTATACTGACAGTTGATCACGACTTTCTGAAAGGTGTATACTATCACTGTAACGTTGATATCGTTGACTAAGCAGCAAATAACTGTTATAAATAAAAAAAATACGACACTAATAGATCAAAAGTCATCAGTTTATATACATGTGTATTAGTTAGTTAAAATTGTTAGTAATCAGTCAGTATAGTAGTTAGTAAGTAGGTGTTTTGTCACGAAGGTGTTAAAACTGTGACTATTGAATGATATACACAACTATTGTCCAGGTTTGTGCATTCAATAGTGATGGGTGTTCTAAATAGTCACGCTTTTACGCCAGTAGGGACATCTTTTACTGCTAGTTACACACCTGCTAATTAACGTCAACTATATTTTCTAACTATTTTCTATACATACTAAACATTAGTGTAGAATACTGGCCACTTATATGATTTAATGACAAAATTTCTTATTACTAAAAGGCCTTCATTAGTCAACGGTATCAGCTTACCAGTGTATGTTGCGCAGGGATACACATGGTCTTTGAAATGGAAACGCTGAGTACATTGAGCGAACCATGCAACGGTAATTTAATCTTTTTGTCTTTTAACTCTAACCAGCGGCTGCCAGACAGGATACCCCCCCCCCCCTATTTTGAAAGAGATGGATAGAGAACAAGCTAAAAAACAAACGTGATTTTTTGTATAATCAGGGGCAGAAAGTTATGGCATGAAATGTGCAAATATCAAAAAGGACAGAGATCTTTGGGATATAAAGATATGTTTTAAGCTTCATCAAAATCGGATAAAAATTGTGACCTCTAGAGGGTCCACAACCTTCGTATTACACACTTCTACACAATTTGCGCTCAAGGAGCGGCCATTTTGTCGGGCAGTTTCATTTCGATTTTCCCGAAATACGAATTCAACCTTCATTATGGTGGAATGGTGATATATTTAAACGGTTTTTTAAAGTCGGAAAAAAAATTGTGGCCTCTAGCGAATGCGCAAGCTAAAAACGCGATTTTTCGTACAATCAGTGGCCATAATTCAGGAAGTTATGGTCCGATATATGCGCGGATATCGGTTCGAGATTCTTTACTATGATCTCGCAGGAAGTCAAATCCTATAATTTATAATGCAACAGCAGCTTGTTTGAATGTAATTGATTACGTTTGTCCCAAACTCCAAACCAAACTTTCCTTTTGGTTTCATAATTATGTTCGCTGTCGGCAAGTCTAATTTCATACTAATTTCATGAGGGTCTTTTCATTTTTATATACAATTCTAAGGCACACTTTCCATCTAAGCCAGTGGTTCTCAACCCTTTTTTTTGCTGACGGCACACCCTGGAACACATGTAAAAATAACGGCACACCTGGCTAAATATATATGAAAAATATTTAAATTTTGCAAAATAAAAACGTGGTAAGTCAGACGGCATACAACCGTAGACACAGACTAGTTATAGACACATAGAATGACTCAAACAAAATAAAGAAAAACACAGCTATGAACTTACCAGTAGACACCAGTGAATAGTCAACTGGGATTACATGGTTTTAGTATCTTTTACCACATTTTCTTGAGAATCACAGATCTAAGCGTTTCCATGCTCGATTTTTTGAATTTCCATGTGTACAGAAAAATCGCTAATAATTTTGAGGAATCCAACTTAAAGGAGCTAAGTCGCTAAAGTAATATGAATGTATATAAATTGATTTACATTCAATCGTTTCTTTTTAACTGTAATTTCTAATCAGTTAGGTTCGGCGACACACGCCAGTATTCTCAGTCGAATTTCAATATCTAGCTTTTGGTTATTCAAGTCTACGCCGATAGTATTTATTGGGCATGCTCTCCAGATAAGAATATAGCGTCTCCATTGTGGAATATGCCTAGCCTCGTTTTTCGAGTCCCTTATTACAAATAGCGCTGAAACGCATTATGGTACACGATTCGTCTACCAATTGTAAAATGTTTATTTTGTTAAAAAAATTGGATATCAGAGGCCCATCTTTTCCCGGTAAGACCACATCATCAATGTTGATTTAAACCGACAAATAAATCGTGTTTTCAATGTCGAAGATTTTGGATGATATTGAGTTAGAGACTAAGCTCCTTTAAATAATGATTTCTCTTTACAGCATGGATTTCGACATGTTTTTTTTATATTAACACAAAGATCCACCATTTGCAACTGAATTCGCAGCAACAAGAGCTGTTGATTAACTTAGTGGAAGAGGACCTGTGTTTGTACGCTAGTAAGTAAATGCCCGGTGTGGGAAAGTCGGCCATCGAGCGGGTCTAACGAAATGATGGTGACTGAAGGACCATAGACATTCATTTTAGCACGCAGACCTGCTTCGTTGGGACCAGAAAAATAAATAAAACATAAAACGAAATGAAATGAAATGGGCTAATGAAGACGGGCATACGCCATACAGTGCTCTATGAGGGAAATTTTGCCCGGGCAGTTGCACTATGGCCTACTATAATACCGAAATCCAACTGACAAGGGATCTTATACGTGCACGCCAATGTATCCGACCGACCGGACAGCTGTACTTGTCAGGCCCTCTGTCCTGCACCACTGACAAAGGGAAACCATGTCGGAAAATCCCGAAGAACTTTCTCGACCAATGCAGGGATCGAACACGCGACCTATAGGCTAGCGAGCCAGCGTCTTACCCACTTAGCCACTATGTCTCCAAATAAAACATAAACATTTATTATGATTGACAATCATTTATTGATGTACAAAACATCAAGAATTATATACTTTTGTAGGTACAATGTTTCCTTATTTGGAGCAATATAGTGCTGGCAAATTTATATAGAAAGAGACTAAGACAATAATCATACAATAATATCATAATTTTACTTTGTCATATCGTCGTCCTAATCCTGTCGTGATATCCTGTTGTCGGCTTATGAAAAAGGCGAAGTTTTACTTGGCCACTATCAGCAACCATACTATTTTGCATTTCTATGTTTGGTCTCTATAATAAGAGTCTGGTTAAACGTGGCTTGACTTGACTTATCTTATTTCCAAGAACGTAATCATCTAGATGGTTAGTTGTTATCGCTTAAGATACATATTAGCTTGGGTTACTATTTATGGAGATAATATATTAGGGACCTTTCGCATCGCTACGAAAACGAACACCAAAACGAGCATATGTTCTTTGACGTTTTCGTTTCGTATCCTCTAACATACGATGGCGTTAATTTCCACTCCATGAACTTCTCGGTCAAGGCAAAGTTTTCAATCGATTTTTTGGCAGATGTACAACAAATCAAGCAGAATATTGCTTTTGAGCACATTCTGCGAACTTAACACAATCAACAATATACACAATCTCGAAAAATTGTGGAAAATTCAATATATGAAACAAGAAAAATATTCGTTTGCCTACCTATGTAAATCCAGCTCTATACGCGTAACTTTTTTCACTGGCCGAACACTCATTACGGATTGACGTCTCAAGTATACACAAATCGGTGACGTTTTCGTACCAATGCGAAAGGTCCCTAAATATCTTAATATATCTTCAGGAGATAATATTACAAGAGAGAGAGAGAGAGAGAGAGAGAGAGATGGAGATGGGGTTTAAGGCACGTCCACTCATTTCGGGGCTAGAATAGGTTCAATTTTATTTCA